ACACATGCATGTTTAAGCTTTATGTGGATCAAAGATGGCAGCAAATTCTTTGCTACTCCCTTTTTTAGAGGTGGAGTCTAATTCTCCTCCTTTGAGTCAGGGCTGGTCTTAGTGACTTGCTTGACCACCAGAAGGTGGTCAAGGGAGGGAAGGAGGAAAGTCAACCACTCTAAGAAGTTTGACTACACTAAGATCAATCACCATGCTGTGAGGAAGCCCACACTAGCCACACTAAGAGACAGATAGACAAACAGAAGAGAGAGAGAGATGCCCTGCCAGCCTCACTATTCCAGCCATACTAGCCCAGGCATCGTGGTGGGAATGAAGAGCCATCTTGGACATTCCAGCCTCAGCAGACGTAATGTGGAAAGGAACCAAGGATCCCAGCAGCTCGCCAGGCATGTGGCTTGGGTCGAGCTGGAGCAGCCATGTCCAGTCATGAAGCCTCCCCTGCTAAGGCTCCCATCTGAATTTCTGGCCTACAGATTCATGAGCATCAGAAAATGGCTGTACTTTTATGCTGCTATGTTTTGGAGTGGTTTGTTCTATAAAAACATAACTGGAACAGATGTCGAAGGGAGGATTTATATGACTCAGCTATTGCCACAATGAGACAATAACACATGACTCCAAAACTCAGTAAGTTTCAACAACAGCATTTTATTTTTCTTTCTTAGGGGTCCATGGGCTGCCTGGGATGTCTTTAGGCAGCAAGGTGGTCGGATTTGCAGGGACAGGCTGGATTCAGACACGTTTCTCACCTTTGTCCTGATGCCAGGCTAAAGGGGCAGCATCTACCTGGGACATGCCGACTCGCACGTCAGCAGGAGTCTAAGTGCAACTCCACAAAACATGTCGATGCCTCTGCTTACTTTATGTCCACTTATTTCATTGGCCAAGTAGGTCATATGGTCAAGCTCAAAATCAAAAGGGTAAGTAAATATACTCCCATCCACGTGGGACAAACAAGAGAGGAAATACTTACCGAGCAGTACTCCAGCCTATTGAGAGTTTCAAGCACCTAATGATGGTGGTGGTGGTGATGGCGAGTGGTATCAGACTGCACCACTTGCAAGGTATTTTGTAATGTGGTACTTACACATCTAAAATCCAGAGAAAACACATGTAAGTGTTGTAGGGGGATGTGTCTAAGTATAAGAATCAATGATTTTTTTGTACTAAATACTGACAGGGAGGAGGCATGTAAAATTATGAAAAGATGAAAGAAATGTAATGGAAGCGCAGAAGGGGAGGAATTAAGAAAAAAAAAAAGGGGAGAGAAAAAGAAAGCAGAAAGTTAAACCCTTCAGCAACTGTTGGGGAGGCTAGGAGCTGACAACCTGTTTCTTGATTTGCCTCCCATGGAGGCAGAGCAGCTCCAGGGCAGCCATTCCCCAAAAGAAGCCCCCAGACACCAGCTCCTACTTAAAGGGAGAGGTTTCTAGTTCAAACATGAGGCACGGCATAAGGCACTCCCAACACTGCTCTCCCACCGGGCACCACACTTATGTCCAGGGAAAGTGCCAGCACGGCAGGGCGTTCCTTAAGGCAGGGCTTTCCTCACTCCCAATGGAGGGTTGACTGTTAACACAGCTCTGGGGTGCACCAAAGTGTGGGCAGCAAGCACAGTGGGAGCAAGGGGGCTGCAGAAAGGCTTTGGAAGAGAAGTGAACTGGGGCTAAGTGCAGAGGCGAGAAAAATGTGGAAGCAGCACACAGCCCTGTGTTTGTAGAATGCCTACAAGGTACAAGCCTGGCAGAGAGAGCCAATGTCAGATCCTGGTAGGTCTTCAATGCCAGGATGAAGAGCACATTCTTAATTTAGTGGGAGCCACTGAAAGCTTTTGAACAAGAAGTGGTATGGAGGAGTTGCCCTAGAATCCATCCCTTCCTGCTTCTTTAGTAACAGAAGCACCAGTCTTTTTAAAAAATTTTAAATTAATTTATTTATTGAAGTACAGTAGACACACAGTGTCACATTAGTTTCAAGTGTACAACATAGTGATTCAGCAAGTCTGTATGTCAAGCTGTGCTCACCCCAAGTGTAGCTGCCATCTGTCACCATACAATGCTATTACAATAACATTGACTATATTCCCTACACTGTCCCTTTTATTCCCACAACTTACTCATCAGAAGCACCAATTTTTAACTGGGGATATGCCTGTGCAAAATAAAGATGACATTTCTTAACTTCTCTTATAGCTAGGTAAAGTCATGTTGTAAATTCTGGTTAATGAAATACAAAGCACATAGCATGAACAACTTCTAGGAAATGTTCTTAAAGGGAGAAGACATTGCTCCTTCTTTTTTTCCTACTGGAAAAGTGGAACTTAATCCTAACATGTATATTATTCATTAGGAAGACTGGCCTGGGGCAAGGCAAAATATAGAAGAGCATTGGAGGGGCGCCTGGGTGGCTCAGTGGGTTAAAGCCTCTGCCTTCGGCTCAGGTCATGATCCCAGGGTCCTGGGATCGAGCCCTGCATCCGGCTCTCTGCTAGGCAGAGAGCCTGCTTCCTCCTCTCTCTCTCCCAGCCTCTCTGCCTATTTGTGATCTCTCTCTGTCAAATAAATAAATAAAATCTTAAAAAAAAAAAAAAAGAAGAGCATTGGAGATGGGAAGACTAATTAGGAGAACATTTTGGCAGCTGAGATAACAAGTGAGGAAATAAGACCTGACCCAGGATGGTAGCAGTGGGATTGGATGGGAGGCACAGATGTGATAAATATTGCGAAAGGACTGTTTGTGGGACTTGCCAATTGATCAGATGAGAAGAAACACTAGAGAAGGAAGAACCAAAGGTCACCTGAAGCTTCATACAGTAATGACTAGGTGGTCAGTAATGTTAGTAACAGAAATAGGGGGTCCAGAAGGATGAGCAGCCTTGAGGAATACCACCATGAGTTTGGTTTTGGACATGTTGTGTTGGTATGCTTGCAGGATATTCAGGTGGAGATATAAAGCAGGTAACTGAAAATTCATTTCTGGAACATGATTTGAGAGTCCTTTGGTTAAAAGTGGTCATCAAGGGGCACCTGGGTGGCTCAGTGGGTTAAAGCCTCTGCCTTCGGCTCAAGTTATGATCCCAGGGTCCTGGGATCGAGCCCCACGTCGGGCTCTCTGCTCAGTGGGGAGCCTGCTTCCCCTTCTCTCTCTCTCTCTGCCTGCCTCTCTGCCTGCTTGTGATCTCTGTCTGTTGAATAAATAAATAAAATCTTTTAAAAAAAAAGTGGTCATCAAAACAAAGGGAGGGGCTGGTTGGCAAAACAGAGAGTGTATCTGTAGAAAATCCTTTCTTCAGTGCACACAGAGAAATAAACTGTGTTCTGAAAACATAAAAATATGTTCACATGCTCCCCTCCCTCCATCAAAAACAAACAAACAAAAAAACTCCTGCAAACTCCAACCAGTGGCTGGCTGGCTGGCGGGCTTCAAGCAAGGGAATCCTCCCTGATCTCAAAATTTGGACAGCTCCTTAAAGTTCCTTAGGAAGGCATTTTGATTTGCACGAATATCTGTCATGACATGTTCTAAGATGACTCCTTTTCAGCAAGAGATCTAGAATAATTGCCTTCCTCCTTAACTCAGTTTAGCCACATGTAAGAAGACTTCTTTTTCACATAAGTCTTAAAAGACCAATTCCTTTCAAGCGCAGCATGAGAAAATATGAGAAAATTAATACATGTGACAGAGGTAGTAAACGACTCTGCAGAGTTCTCTCATGTATCTGCCATGACCGGAGCAGATACTAATTAAAGGTTGAAATAAAAAGGAAATGAATCGAATGTTAACATTAAGAAACCATCTTTGCAGGCTGGCTAACCACTGTATATACAGTTTTCCTGCCACGGCTGGGGTCCGGGAGATGGAAGAGGTTAAAATCCTGTGGCTTGTCTACTACCCAGTAGAAATGCAACTGGATGTGGTGGCGAGAGAGCCGTTGATTCTGTAGGAGTTTTGCGTCTTCAGCCTACATACAGCCCACACACACAGCCTGCACACAGCTGTGGGGCAACCGAGGGCCTATCCGGGAGGCTTTAAGCCCCTCTGCCTAGGAGAGCGGGAGCGCGCGCTGGAGAGCCCGGGAGCTGGGTTTGGTGCCACCTGGGACCCCGTTTCACTTACAGCTGAGGCTTTGTCAGAGCCCTTATCGAACGTGGGATAAGGTTTTTCTAATTCATCCATCCAGCACCCATCTTCCGTCTCAGGGCCAGGCCCGCGCTGGGCACCCCGGCGTGCTTTCTCGTACAGGACTCCTGGAGGAGGGGTTTTAGGCTGGAGGAGGACACGACCGGAGGACCGTCCGGGGTGGGGGCCTAGCCGCACGCGGCCCTTTTGCAAGAGAGACCGGTGCGTTCTCGGACAGACAGCGGGGGCGAAGACACCCACCCTGGAGGGAACCCTTCCCCTCCCACAATCCTCAGGACCAAAAACGTAGCTGGGTTCCACATTCTCCCGGGCCTTCTGACTCCTAGGGCCCAGACCCTGGCCAGCCCGAGAGGCCCTGGCAGGTGCCAACGAGCTCGGGCCGTCCCTCAGGCCGTGCCCAGCAGCGGTCACCCGGAGCCCGCCCCAGTTAGCGGGGCAGGGAGGTGGCTACGGGCGCCCGGATTGGCCGGCCCCCCAGCGGCCCCGGCAGCGCCCCCAGCCCTGCCGTCCCTCCCCCCGCGCCGGCAGCCTTAGCGAGGGGCGCGCGGCGGCGGTTCCCGGAGCTGATTGGCCGAAGCCGCGGGGGGCGGGGCGGCGGGTGTGAAGGGGGCGGGCTTGGGCTGCTCCCGGCTCCCTCCCCTCTTCCCATCTGCGTCCTCTCTGACTGCTCCCGCGTTGCATCATCTCCAGCTCGCGGCTGCTGTGGAAAGGTTGGGCGCGGCGCGAACCACTCAGGCCGGGGCTCCAGCCTGCTCTCCCTCGCCTCTCCTGGCCCTTTCCCCACCTGCTTCTGCACCCACGCCGGGAGCTCTCCGCGGGCCGGCTTAACCCGCGAGGTACAGCCGGCGGATGCTCTGCCAGATCTGTTCATTGAGATTCCCAGCTTATCCCAGAGCCAAGTCCCCCGCCTCCTTCAGCTTGGGGCCGCGGGCAGCGCCATGGAGAAGAGTAGCGAAACCAACGGCTACCTGGACGGCGCCCAGGCGGGGCCTGCAGCAGGGCCTGGCGCGCTGGGATCCGCGGCGGGACGCGCGCGGCGCTGCGCGGGCTTCCTACAGCGGCACGCGCTAGTGCTGCTCACCGTGTCGGGAGTGGTGGCGGGCGCCGGACTGGGCGCAGCGCTGCGCGGGCTTGGCCTCACCCGCACGCAAGTCGCCTACCTGTCCTTCCCCGGCGAGATGCTGCTCCGCATGCTGCGCATGATCATCCTGCCGCTGGTTGTCTGCAGCCTGGTGTCGGGCGCTGCCTCCCTCGACGCCAGCTCTCTCGGGCGCCTGGGCGGCATCGCCATCGCCTACTTCGGCCTCACCACGCTTGGCGCCTCGGCGCTCGCCGTCGCTTTGGCGTTCATCATCAAGCCCGGCTCTGGCGCACAGACCCTCCAGTCCAGCGACCTGGGGCTGGAGGAGTCGGGGTCCCCTCCGGTCCCCAAAGAGACAGTGGACTCTTTCCTCGACCTGGCCAGGTAACGCCCCCCACCCCTCGCCAAGTGCACAGTGAGCTCTCTAATGCACTCCAGTGCGCGCGCGGGCACGCACGCGCGCACACACACACAGACGCGCACACACACACAGACGCGCACACCACCCTCATAAATTGCTAAGAGTTCATTCTTAATCTGCTGCGGGTGATGAACCAGCCTACCGTTAGGCGGAGTGTGTGTTAGGGAAAAGACAGTGTCTTACCAATGCTGTGCTCCTTATACCATCTGGCTGCCCTTACCAGTAAAAACGTCCCAACCACACCCCAATAGCGTCACCCTGTTTTTTCCCCACGATGCCCGAAAGCTTCTGGGAGCATTAGTTAGATTTTGCCTGTATCATCCTCAGCTGTAATCTCTGGCCTTCCCTGTTTCAGCCCTTTGGCTGGGAGGAAGGTGGCAATTTTTGAAGATTTGTCAGTGGACCCAAGGATAACGAGGCTGGGGTTAGTGGTATGAGGCCCACTGTCCAGAAACATGGCTCTCTGGAGGGCTTGGGACAGGTTGCTGGCCACCCCATAGTCAGGACCATTGTAGAATACTGTGAGTTTCAAGGAGCTTTATTTCTGGAAGGGTGAGTTCTAGAGGGGAAGGAGTTTGCTTGCTTTTTGTGACTCCTTGAAGTTGCATTTTATCCCTTGAGATGCAGTGTTGTTTCTGGATTTTTCCGAAGCCTCAGCCTCTCTCAGTTTCTCCATTAGCCCAGAGTTCACAGATGGGAAAATTGCAGACTAGAGGAATTTACCGTCCTGGCCAAGTTCAGCTGAGTGAGGAGCTCAGTTGGCTCCTTCTCCAGGTTTCCGAAAATTCTGGATTCGGAGCCTTGGAGGTATGTTTTGTCTGGAGTCACTGAGGCAGAGTTCCTCATGGCTGAGGCTGTGAAAAACAGCAAACCCTGGGCAAAGTTACTTGGCTTCCTGCTATTTCCTTTTCTCCCTCTGGAAAATGTGATCACTGTCTGCCACTTGAGAGTGTGTGTGTTCATTTGAAACTACAACAACAATAAAAAGTCCAAGGCTTTTGTATTAAACACACGCACACACACACACAAAACCTCCATTGAGGGGGGATCAAAAAGTTCTTACCAAAAAGGCAGGTGGAGGTGGCCTATTAGGACTTTGATATAATCACAGTCTTAGTATCTAGCAGCTTGATATTTGGAGTCTTTCGAAACCCTTAAAGTTTTGGGGCTTTTAGGTGGGTGCTGAAAACAAAGTCTACTAAGGTTGAGAAAGCCTTTGGCTTATTACATTCACCTATTGGTTAGCTTTCTCCAGGAGGAAAGGTGGTTATGGGGTTAAAAGATTCTTTTTTGCAGGGGTCAGTGGCCCTGAAAAGGAAGTATGGATGCCCAGCTCTGAGAATGCCCAGTAGCATTCCTTTATCTCCAAAAGAGGGACAGTAGCCCCCAAAGGGGGCAAGATAGGGTGAGGGGTTATTTTATTACCACCTGTCTCAGGAAGGACATCTTAGTTCCTGATTGTGGTTTTCTAGGTTTAGAACCAAGCCCTACAGCTGTTGCTTCTGAAGTGTATGGTGAGTTCGCTCTGTAGGTTAAGCATCTGCCTTTGGCTCTAGTCATGATCCCAGAGTCCTGGGATGGGTCCGCATCGGGCTCCCTGCTCAGTGGAGAGCCTGCTTCTCCCTTTCCCACTCTCCCTGCTTGTGCTTACTCTCTGTGTCAAATAAATGGATGGGGTCTTTAAAAAAAAAAAAAAATGAAGTGAATGGTAACCCAGCATCATGGCTGAGTGGTCTCTCTGGGTGCAGACTTCTCAGTGACTTGGGCTGCCGGTGCTGGAAAGGACTAAGAGAACCTTTGTTGTGGCTTGTTGGAAATAGGCAGCCTTTCATAAGACTTCTTACAGTCAGCCTCCAGCAGCTCCTGGATAAAGGTAGGGCAGGTAGTATGATCCTATTTTACAACTGAGGAAACTGAGAGAGATTAAGTGATTTGCTCAAGGTCACAGAGTGGTTTATCAAAAGAGGTATTAGGGAAATATGGGTCTTGTGCCCCAGCATTCAGGGCTCTGTTTCTCCCACTCTTCCCTCCCCCAAGTCAGTTTGCTATAGTAATGGTGTCATGGTGCTGATTTAGTCCTGCCATCTCAGAAATGTTTTTTCTGGGCCAAAAGGGCATCAGGTAAGAATGTGATTTGGGTCAGGGCAGATGCCCACTTGCTCTAAACAGAGGACCTGAGCCCCGGCAGTGAAGGAAGGCCTGTGTACTGCTGCTCTGACTGGCCTTCACCTTGAGCAGCTGGTGAGAGGGAACTGAGTTTTGAGCCATAACCTCAGTGCTTCCTGGGTCCCTGGGTCAAATTTTTAAATTTACTTCCATCAAAGAAACCCTGCACTTGCTGGTTTTGTGGGACTCTGGGCACGTTCCTTGGCAAAGGCAGGGCGCAGTCCTTTCTACCTGTGAGCACTGAATGAAGTGAGCCGGCTGGCAACCACCTCAGTTATCCTGCAGGCCGTCACTGGGTAACTGCCCAGAACTCAAACAGGCAGAAGGAGTGGGAGAAGTCTCTGACTTCTCATCAGAGAGACTCTGATGACCAGGCTTTGCTGGTGGGGGTGCTCCTCGGGGTCTCTCTGCTACGATTTCTAATTTTTCTCAAGATGGAACTACAAGTCAGAAAGGAATGAAGCTCATAGACATTCATTATAACTTTTAGAAGATTTTCAGAATGCCATTGCTGAGTGGTTTGATTTCCCATCACACAATGGATTAGAAATAACAAAGGCCAGGGAGTGTCTATGAGGCACAGGTGCTAGAAGCAGGCCCTTTGAGAACTGAGAAGGGGTGATGGAGAGCAACTGGCAGGTGGGAAAGTCCTAGTCTCCTCCTGAGCCTCCCAGAGCTTTATGCCTGGGAACCCAGAACAGCAAAGGACTCTCAGAACTGGGTGGGACCCAAGTTCTCAAGCTGTGACTGTTCGTCCAAAATGAAACAGATGCAGCACCAAAGAGACCAGGAAACAGGTTATGAGGAACTCATTATGGAACTTCTTGGTCCCTAACAAGGCTTACTGATTGTGAGTCCTAGAGCATGTCCCTAACCCCCATGTCTTAGCTTCCTCATCTCTGTAACCGGCATCCTCAAAGTATCTACCTTGGAAGTTTCCTCTGAGGGTTACATGAGTTAATGTTTGTAAAGCTGTTAGACCAGGGCTGGCCCACTCTGCTCTGGTTATACACGGAGTGGTATTACAGAGCTATCGGGAAGTTGTCTTTGTTTCACATGAACTTATGGGGATGGCCCTCTTTTCATAGTCTGAAAGAAAAGAGAATGAATGTTGCGGGGAGGGAATGTTTGGGGGAGCTCAGGATGACTTGAAGCTTATGTTTTTAGGTATTTTGGGAACTACATGGAGCTTGGAGAAAAAGAAGTGAACAGTTACTATGTTTTGGACTAAGAGAATCAACACTGGGGGGAAAAGTTGGGGGGCACCTGGCGGACTCAGTAGGTTAAGCATCTGCCTTCGGCTCAGGTCATGATCTCAGGGTCCTGGGATCCAGCCCTGCGCCCTGCATCAAGCTCTCTGCTCAGCAGGGAGTCTGCTTTTCTCCTTCTCACTCTCCCTCTATGTTCTCTCTCAAATAAATAAATAAATAAATAAATATCTTTAAAAAAAAAAAGAAACAACACATGGGAAATTTGGAAAATGTACAAAAGTCAAAACTGAACCTAGAAGAGCCTTCCATTCTAAAAGGGAGCAGAAATTCTCATGTATCCTCTCTGACATTGCAATTTCTGCATTCCCCCCCACCCGCCCCCTGCCCCGGCCCCTGTATTACATATTTGTGGTCTCTAAAGTTAACCAGTCGACCTCAATTTTCTTCAGCTATAAGTGGAAAGAACTGGCTTCTAACACTCCCTTGGGTATTAAAATTTGTAGTTTTCAGTTGGAAAACCAGAGGCTTATCTGCAAAGGTGGCAGGTAGGGACAGCTCCTGGGCCCAGTGCTCTGTCTGCACTGGCATCCGGAAGAACGGCCCAAGGCCACTGTCTTTTTTTTTTTTTTTTTTTTAATTAACATATAATGTATTATTTACTTCTTGGGTACAGGTCTGTGATTCATCAGTCTTACAGAATTCACAGCACTAACCATAGCACATACCCTCCCCAAAGTCCATAACCCAGCCACCCCATCCCTCCCCCTCAGCCCCCCAGGAACCCTCAGTTTATTTCTTGAAATTAAGAGACTCTTATGGTTTGTCTCCCTCCCAGAGGCCACTGTCTTTTGCAAAAGTGTAGCAGGGCACAGCCCTGTGCCTGGTAGACACAAGTGAGATTTTGCCCGTTGCCCAGTTTTCTAGGCTTTATTGTTTAATTCTTGTGCTCATTTTTTCAACACTGAACAGTGCTCTGAGCCTTTCCCTTCACAGAGGGAGGCGTGAGGGACTGACTTTTCTGGTCAAGGACTGGTGTGAGTATGATGCCTTGCAACTTGCAAAGAACACATTTCTTTAATAGCTTCAAAGAAACCTATCAGAGACTGAGCTCTAATCCTAGCCCCTAGGTTGCAGTCAAGAGAGTGAATAGTGAATAATTTCTTTTAACTGTTGGCCATGGGAGGCTGTTTGGCCTATGCCTATGTTTCTCTTCTATAGGCAAGAGGAAGATTGTTAGCAAATCTAACACGGATCCAAATTAATGGAGGTTTCTCAGCCTAATTAGTCACCAAAGGGAAAAAGTGGCAGTGTGTTATTTAAAAAAATAACAAAAGGTTTTTTTTTTTTTTTAAAGATTTTATTTATTTATTTGTTAGAGAGAGCATGAGCACAGGCAGACAGAGTGGTAGGCAGAGGCAGAGGGAGAAGCAGGCTCCCCGCTGAGCAAGGAGCCCGATGCGGGACTCGATCCCAGGACGCTGGGATCATGACCCAAGCCGAAGGCAGCCGCTTAACCAACTGAGCCACCCAGGTGTCCCAATAACAAAAGGTTTTACCTTGACACCTTTCCTTCTGCCACCCAGGAGACTACCTGAATAGTTCTGAGACTGAAAAGAGCATATACCCAGTGAGGTTGCGTTGGGGGTGGGGGTGATTAAAAGCAGACACTGGGATCAATTACCTGATTTTGAATCCAGTTCTATCACTTACTAGCTGTGTGGACAAGTCTTTAAGCCTCTCTTTTCCTCAATTTTCTTATCTGTAAAACGAGACTAATAATAGTATCTACTACCTGCATTTGTTATGAAGATTAAATGAATTAATCCTGGAGTGTCTTGCTGATACTGTCAAGTGTCCCTGCCCCTCAGGGATAGCCCCAGGTCACTTGTTACAAGAATTAAAACTGTTTTCAATCTTACTTCCCGAAAAGTCCCCCACGCCAGGGGCCTGGCATTAACCTTTCCAGCTGGAATCTAAAACTGGAGATGGGCCTCAAAAAGAGGATAGATTACTCTCCTGCCCCCCACTGTCACCAGAGTGAGCCCACTACCCCCAGCCCTTCCTCTGCTCCCAGCTTTGTGGGGGGTACCAAGATCTGAAGGGGCATGTCCCTGTTAACCGACTCTGTAACAATAAACACTAAGGATAATAAATGTTTAGCAGGTGTACATACCATGCTATATCCTGTTCTGAACAGTCTTTGAAATTTTCATAAATTCAGTAAAGAATTTTTGAACTTAAATAAGAGGAAATATTTCTGGAACAAAAAAATATACCTAAGCAACAGTAAATTGTTTTCCATTCTTCTCCTATAGGACAGGGAAATGCATACCACCCTTGACAAATAGGATCAGAAGAGCAAACAGTACCAGATGTATAAAGAAGGAACATTTTTGAAGTTTTTCATTGTGTGAGCTGCGTGCATGTTCACCACCACTAACAGAAGTTCAGCCTCCTCTCCTGCCAGGTTCTCGGTTTAAGTAATGTACCCAAAGGTTCTTCTAGCACTGGAAAGGCTTGTCCATTCATTCTTTCCTAATTTGGTCGGACGTGGACTCTGGATTTAGTATGGACTTGATATTTTTGCAGATGTTTTTGACTTAGACCTACTCTAAGAAATGTACTTCAAATTATGGCTTCAGTACACATCTACCCCCTCCCTACCCCACTCCCATACGCAACATGAAACAAATGCCAAAACAGCATTTTAAATGTGATACATGGAGGTTTTTTCAATTCTGTCTAATGTATTACATATTTTATAAAATAATGGCTTTAACTAGTAAATTGCTTTCACAGCCTACTAATGTTAGAGAAACTGGTCCAGTGTAGATCTGGTATTATGTAATTTAGGAAAATTTCTAGGGATCCAATAACAGAAAAAGGAAATATTTGAGAATTTGAGTAAGTTGAAGAGCTCAGCGATTTGAAGGCCTCTAACACCCAGTGAAATCGGGTACTGTGTAAATGTGAAGCGTGGAAAGACCATTTGGTCCTTCTTACTCCCAGACTCTGGATCTCAAAACTCTAGATCTGCACTGTCCAGAAGGATAGACACAGCTACAAGTGTTTACATTTAACTCATTTACATGTAAATGAAATAAAATAATTCAGATCCTCCCTAGCACCAGCCATATTTCAAGTGTCCAGCAACCAATGGCTACCATATTGGATGATGTTAGTCTAGGTATGGAGCATGAATGGGAGATGTAAGCCAGCTTAATGTCTCCAGGTTCTTGGTGTCCCCATGTGTTAAATGAGGGTGTTGATCTTGACCACCTCTAAAATCTCCTCCAGCTCAAATGTTTCTTATTTTGAAAGCACACAGAGTTATTGTGTGAATGTGAGCCTAAAGATAGAGCTGTGAGGGGCAAACCTACCTGAATGCAGGAGAGCTCGGGAGTAAGGAAGCTAGAGTTCCTTCATAGCAGTGTCTGTGTTTAAGAGCCAAAGGAAAGAGGGGTAAGAAGCTTGCAGAGAGGAGATCAAAGCCGGAGGGCTGACACTACCCGACTATATAAGACTTACCATTAAACAACAGTAATCAAGACAGTGTGGTGTTGGGGAACAAACAGTCAAATAGATCAATGGAATAGAACAGAGAGCCTGTGTAAATACAGTCAGCTGATCTTTAACAAACAAGTAGAGGCAATACAATGGCACAAAGATAATCTTTTCAACAAATTGGGCTGGAACAGCTGGAATCTGACCCCTAGATACTGACCTTACACCTTTCACAAAAATTGACTCAAAATGGATCACAGACGTATATGTAAAACGCAAAACTCTGAAACTCCTGGAAGAAAACAAAGAAAACCTAAATGACCTTCAGTACGGTAATGACTTTTTAGATACAACACCAAGGACGTAATTTGTGAAGAGTGCAGAGAAGTGTTTTTGCTTTACTCTATAGCCTCAGCTCCTTGCCCTTAGTATGGGCAGGAGGGACTCGCCTGCTCTGTGACAACCAGAGGGACCAGGGGAAAGGAGGATGATTTTATGGTTGCTACATCTCACTGCCCTCAGGTGGTGCCTTCCCAGGGACTAATATCCGAGAGCTGAGCTATAGAAAGTGCGGTCATTCCTTTGAATGTATGTATTTTTTTGGTTGTAAACTCTTTGCAGTTAGCACTGTATCTCACTTTTCAGCCTCTTAAGGAGATATGAGATACGATTTAAATATAGTAAAATGCACCCATTTTAGATGTACAGGTCAATGAGTTTTAATAAAGAATGAGTTGCAGGTACCTGGGTGGCTCAGTGGGTTAAAGCCTCTGCCTTCCACTCAGGTCATGATCCCAGGGTCCTGGGATTGAGCCTCACATCAGGCTCTCTGCTCGGCAGGGAGCCTGCTCCCCCCCCCCCCCCCCCCGCCCACCGCCTGCCTCTCTGCCTGCTTGTGATTTCTGTCTGTCAAATAAACAAATTAAAAAATCTTAAAAAAAAAAAAAAAGAATGAGTTGCAATAAAGAAAGTCTAACAGCAAGAAATAAACCCCAATTTTATGTAACCTAATCATGAAAATGACATCCCATCAGCATGCTGTATTCTGTTGGCTAGATGAAAGTCATAGGCCCCACCCACACTCAAGGGGAGGGTATTGTACAAAGTGTGACTACCAGGAGTCATTTTAGATTGCTTGCCAACCTGGGTTGCAGTCAGACCTGCCTACCTCTGAAACCAAAGGCACTGCAAATGGTTGCCTGGAGATTCCAGTGCTAGGTAAACAACTCAGCCGCAGAAATAAGTATTAATGGGTGTGTTCAGCACAAATTGTAAATGATTCAGTGTTTTACAAATGGGTCGTCAGTGGGATTTTGTTATATATCAAGACCAGCATCCTGCATAGAGCCTGCAAAGGAGGTCCTCATCAAAAACTGTTCCCATGAAGAGATTTTGGCTTCAAAATCTAGCTTAAGTTGATCTGTCCTATTGCCCGCCTTTTACAACAAATATTTTATAAAATCCTTCATCCTGAAATGAAATCCATAAATAGAATTTCAGTGCATTTCAATTTCAGAGCATCAATGTGACTCAACAGAAGGATAAAAAGAGACTTAACTTATAATAAAAATAATGTGTTTCCATATGTAGAGATCCTAAAATGAAGTGGTTAGGCGCTTGCTTCTGAATTTACAGTCACCATTAATGAGACAGCTGTAAATGCAGGCTGTTGCTTGATACTGGTGTGTGTGTAATTAAGGAACCCAGATCCTAAAGTTTGCCATTGGTGATGTGATTTTCCAGGAGGATGAGCAATTTTTAGAAACATTCTGAACAAAACAAGTAATAACTCATTCTATGTTTTACACAGTAATTACATTCCTAGAAAAGTCAGTGTGTGTTCAAATTGTACCAAAAGACAAACAAAACCTCGTTTTGGAATGAGTTTAGGCTGAGGTCTTTATAAATAAGGTTTTCATCTACAAGTATGTCATATGGGACATTTGGGATGTGTGAAGGCCACACTCAGTAGAATTAGTGGCTGGGACCTGGCACCACCCCCTATAACTCTCCCCCAGTGTCAGGAATGCCCCCCAGTTATTTCAATAATGAAAGCACTCCCTTGGATTCCACCAGTGGGCAGTACCACTCCCATTGAAAAACACTGCAGTAGGGCTTAACTTCAAAGGGATAGGAAAGTAATGCAGTTTTCCTAGAGAACCACAATGGAGATAAGGGTAAAAATTGGTGTGCTCTGAGTATTGTGACCCAGCAGCTGAGGCATGGCTGGGTTCTTGGATCAAGTGGAGACCACAGTAACTGCTGGAGGGAGAGGAAACACTGTGTTGGGCTGTCAGGAATGGGTATCCAAAAGTGGACGCTTTGAACACTGAATTTTAAGAACACTGACAAAGTGCTTTTTTTCCTAACAGAAACCTGTTTCCCTCAAACCTTGTGGTTGCCGCTTTCCGTACGGTAAGGCTTGATGCTTTGCAAAAAATTAGGAAACTTAGAGGGGTGGTGTATAAATGATGCTATGGGGTTATTTAAGGTGGGTCAGAGAGGGGTAGTATTGTTACAAAATTTGGTTACCTGGGCCTAAATTTTTATAGCATGGATCTTGGAGTAAAAAACAAAGTGAAATAACAACAACAAAAAAAACAAACAAGAAGGTTTTCTAAAATATCCCACTGGTTCCACCATTTTTCATATCACCTGAGAAATACTCTTAAATCACATTTTGGGGTCTCTTAAATATTTTATAATGTTTGAAAAATATACTTTTATCTTTTTTCTGATTATAGAGGTAATATATGCTTATGTAAAAAATAAAAAATAGGGGTGCTTGGGTGGCTCAGTGGGTTAAAGCCTCTGCCTTTGGCTCGGGTCATGATCCCAGGATCCTGGGATTGAGCCCCGAGTCGGACTCTTTGCTCAGCAGGGAGCCTGCTTCCCTTCCTCTCTGCCTGCCTCTGCCTACTTGTGATCTCTGTCTGTCAAATAAACAAATAAATAATCTTTAAAAAAATTAATAAATAAAAAATAAAGTGCAAAAACATGGAAGAAATTAAAAATCACTCATAATCACAGCCTAGAGATACCCATTAACATTTTGGTACACATCCTTCAGATACATTTTTTCTCTACATGTGCACACACACATGTGTTAGAAATAAAAACAACTGTATTACATATCTGTTGGTATGTACACATACTACACGTTTTTAACCTCTTCTTTAAGGCAGCATATTATAAACATTTTTTCATGTTGGTAAATACCCTTCTGCATAATGTTAATGGCCCTATTCCACTATGTGAGCATATCATAATTTTATTCTGTCTGTCCCTTATTGATAGACATTCAAGTTGTTTCTAGTTTTACCTAATTTTGGCAAGACTGCGAGTAACGTCCCTGTAGCCGTGCTTTATAAGGAGAAGGAGTATAAAGGTCTAGATTAGGTGGACTAATCTCATTGCCTTTTCCAAGCAGACTCTTCTGTTTCTATTTACAGCCTCTCCCTCAGTCTCTCTCTTTAAGAAAAAAAAAAAAATTCTGCTGGGTGTGTGGGAGGCTCAGTTGGTTGAGTGGCTGCCTTCTGCTCATGTCATGATCCTGGAGACCTGGGATAGAGCCCAGCATCAGGCTCTCTGCACAGCAGGGAGTCTGCTTCTCTCTCTCCCTCTGCCCCCTCCCCACCGCTTGTGCTCACTCTCTCTCAAATAAATAAATAAATAATTTTTTTAAAAACTGCATATAAGCACAGCTGTGGCTTATGTATATAATGTAAGGTAGGAAAAAAAATAAAAGGTTTATGGGGTTTTCAGTGCCTGTCACAGAAGGCATGGGATGGGTTTTGTTTCCCGTCACTGGTAATCACGGGACAGCTGAACACCTCTGCTTGTCTGAAAGCCTGATAAATCAAAGGTGAGAGAGACCAGACTGCATCAAAGGCAGGCACAAAGCAGTACCCCGTAATGGGCTCCTCTTGACAGTCCGGAACCAGGTGTCCTTAGAACAGGTCAGGAAAGGCATTTTCTAAGAGACTCCATTCAGTCGTGCATTCTGCGATAGGTAGACCCCTGAGTGCCTTGTGCAGAAGTATGTGAGGTCGATTGTAGGACCCAAGTTTGGAGAGTCATTTTACTTCTGATAAGTGAGTCTTCCACAAGACTTAACCAGAAAACACCATCTTGTCTCATATCCTTTGCTTTGGAGAGTGGATCTTTAAAAAAAAAAAAAGTAGGTGCTGAAAAGCATTCAGGCTCAAATAAGTTCTGGAACAGAGTGGAACATTATGAAATTAATACCAAAAGTCAAATAGTATAACATGTCAGCTGTTAGAAATATCAAACTATCAGCATGAAATTGTGCAGACCTTCTCCTCCAAACCATTGTCCCTAATGGTGTGAGTCCCTAGATAACTCAGAGGCCTCTTGGGGTGTATGCTGCCTTGGTCTTAAGTAACTTTTGTGTAGTTCTTAGAGGCCCTTGTCAGGCCAACCAAGTGAGGAATTCCTAGAACACTCAGAGTGAATAAGAATAGCAAGAGGTACAACAGTCCTTTTTCAGTTTCTCTGGTCGGCCTTTACCTATGAACTGACAATGTCTTCTTCTTCCTCCTGTTCCCAGTATGCAACTGATTATAGAGAGGTGACCCACAATACCAGCTCTGGAAATATAACCCGTGAGAAGGTAAAGCTCTTTATAAGATCACTTGTGGTGAATAACTTACAAAGCAAATAATGCTTTTTAATTGAGGGAGCATACGTGATGCATCTTCTTCTCAGCAGGGCTGAAAACTCTGGGGTTTGAAGGAACTATCTGAAAAACATAGATTAGGTTTGCTCCTTAGGTTACTTAGCAACATGGCCAAAGGCCAACATCGGCAGTGTTGGAATCTTCAGCAGATCCATTTCATCAAATTGGAACTGATGTCCCTTTCTTCAAAAAATATTTTATAACACCCCTTCTGCTGTCCTGAAATGTAACGAATAGGTGATTTAACCCATCTCTACACATAGAACTTGTCTCAGAGGCTTAACTCACTATAGCCATCATTCACTCACACATATTTTTTGAGTAGCTATTAATGGCTGGACACTGGGTGAGGTCCCAGCCTTCACGATAGAGCTGGAAGGGACAAGGGACCTCAAGGATTATTTGGTCCTGCTACAGAGCTGTCATGGGAAGAAGAAGGTACTTTGCCCCTTCCCCACCCCACACAGACAGCTTCTCAGGGCTGAGGGGCTCTGCGCTTTACCAGCCTTTCTTTGAGGAGAGTTGTACTTAAAAAAAAAAAAAAAAGTCGAAAGCTACTAATTAGTCCAATTCACTTCATCTCACAAGGTCAGAGAAGTTATCTAGTCCCAGAGCTGGGACTAGAACTCAGATCTATGGTAAAAAATGCTCTTCTCTTTTTACCATGCTGATGTATGTTTCCCGTTCAGAATTTCATGTGCTTTGATGGAATAAAATGTTTGTCCAATACATGCTTATAGTAGTGAGATTGAGCATTATGGAAACAAAATAAGGAATATAGTATATCTATATATTTTATTTTAAGTCAGTGACTCAGGAAAGAATATCCTGAAAACCTTTTGTGAAATTTGTCAGGTAGGAGGCCACCATAACAGTCTAGCCACAAAAGATTTATTGACCTTTGGGAGGCACAGTTACAATCTCGATGTGAAAGAACTTTTCACCAACCAGCTCTTCTTTAATTTTTTTTAAATTTATTTTTTTATAGTTATTACTGCAGTATAGTTGACATACAACGTTATATTAACCAGCTTTTCTTTTAAAAGCAGCCCTTTGGGGGGCATCTGGGTGGCTCAGTCGGTGAAGCATCTGACTCTTGACCTCAGCTCAAGTCTTGATCTCAGGGTCTTGAATTCAAGTCCTGCCTTTAAAATGCTACCTGATAAAATAAAAGTAACCCTTTGAAGTTATTGTCTGACCTCTACTTGAATTCTCACTCACCCGCCGTAAACTTAGACCCTCTGTCCCCTGCAATCCTATAGATCCCCATTGGCACCGAGATCGAAGGGATGAACATTTTAGGATTGGTCCTCTTTGCACTGGTGTTAGGAGTGGCCCTAAAGAAACTTGGCTCTGAAGGAGAAGAGCTCATCCGTTTCTTTAATGCCTTCAACGAGGCGACGATGGTGCTGGTGTCATGGATTATGTGGTAAGTTTGGCCTGCCTGCTACTCTCCCTCTCCTCTCTCTTGCCATCCAGAAAAGAACCCAAGTCTGCTGTGTTAGGTCAGCCCTGTGGGGCCACCCAGCCTGTGGTTGATGCACCATGGGCCGGACTTGATACAGGGGGTGGTAGAGGTGGAGACAGTTCTTCCACTTGTCCAGGCCCTCAGAGAATCAGGAATGTGCCATCATTACCAGTCCCTTTTTCAGCACCCACAGTGACCTGTTATGGTTCTATCCCTGGTAATCGATTTAGTTATGAGGTTCCACCATTATCCATATCATATAGGATGCCCATATCATCTTGTGGGGCAATGAACTCAGTAAGTATGCTACCTGCTGCATAAAATAAGGTTTATTTATCTTAAAACAGTCGACTTCAAGCTTCAAAGGGGCCCCTTCCTATAATATTTCACAGCATGGAAGACAAATTCATTTTCACTCCATGCATACATAAACTTGGAATGGTCTCCTTTTACATAAATATTTCTTTATGGAACATCAATAAAAGCACAGTTGTTTAATAAAAACCAATGGATTGATTTCTGGCTAACAAGTAAAAATTTGACCAGAGGGGCGCCTGGGTGGCTCAGTGGGTTAAGCCGCTGCCTTCGGCTCAGGTCATGATCTCAGGGTCCTGGGATCGAGCCCCGCATCGGGCTCTCTGCTCAGCAGGGAGCCTGCTTCCTCCTCTCTCTCTGCCTGCTTGTGATCTCTCTCTGTCAAATAAATAAATAAAATCTTAAAAAAAAAAAATTGACCAGAGGTCTCAAAGAGACTTCTCAAAAAGCCTACCAATCCCAATGCCCATCCCTTAAAAGTTTTACCTTGCTGTTTTACTTGGGCCAAACTGCTGTGCATTTTAGCTTCTACTTGTATATTGTCCAGAAACGTAGTGTATTCTTTCGTATATGAAACATTTTCCTTATTGGCAACCCTTAACTATCTCAGGAGAGAAGCCTGGAATTTGGTAGTAAAGTTTGGAATTGAGTGGGAGGCCAAGTCCAGAGCCCCCACTGGTGGCGGTGTTTATCTTCCTCAATCAAAAATTTCAGAGTCTGACTCCATCATTTGCAAACATGACTGCTCATATGACTGTTGTTGTTCTGGGCAGAAAAATATTTTTCAGAAAGGAAAAAGTGTTTTCATCGCATGTCAGGTTCTTTTCCTGTCTTTTTTTTTTTTTTTTAGTCTATAATCCTCCCAACGTTTGGATTAAAGGAAATTATGCAAGAAAGTGATGTTCCTATGTTAAGACATTTGTTTTCAATTTGAAAACCAATTTATAGTCATTCCTTCAAATCAATATACTAGTTACATAACCAGGTGTTCGGTCAGGCAGACCCTGCTGTGTGTCTGACTGCCCCTGGAGATCTGTTGCCCAGCCAAGTGTATGTCACACAGAATTGGGGTGTAAAATGACTTACCTGGTTAAAGGATCTTAACCAGGTTTGAGTTAACCAGGTTTGAGAGGGATCTCCAATAGCAGCTCTTTCTGCTTTCTTTCCTTTGCTCATTACCCACTAAAATGTCAAAGCACCTGCCTGTCCTGCACTATTCACAGAAATAATGCCTCAGTGGCTTAAATACAGGCTCAGCAAACTTGGCAGACCATATGGTCTCTGACAAAACTACCAACCTTGCCATTATAGGATGAAAGCAACTATAGACTATTTATAAATGAATGAACATGGTTGTTCCAATAAAACTCAGGGTGCCAACTCACACATTAAACTATCCAAGGAGGAAGGAAGAAGAGAGGAGGGGAGTGTCCTAAATTATTAGAAGAAAACATAGGGGTATGGAAACTCTTCCTAAATGAATGCAAAAAGTAAAAGCCGTAAAAAGCTGCTAAATCTGACTACAGCAGAATACAAAATGTTTGCCTACAAAAGATACATTGAACAAAAGAGGACAATTACTGAAAAAAAATTATATTTATTTACATATAATGTATATATGTGCACACAGACACATATCTGAAAGCATAAATTTCTGGAGGACTGGTACCAGTTCACAAACTATTTATCTGTCTGCAATGAGATTTATAGGGAAATTAAGAGTAAGCGTTTAGAAACTTTTGTAGCAATTTCATATTGCTGCAACATCCAAGCACCTGACCACTTTTCTAATATTTTATTTCTGTTGTCTTTTATAAGAATATTGGTCCATGATCAGCTGGATAAAAATATACCAAAGATTATCCGAGAAGCACTAAAGCAAGGAGTTCTGGTTGTTGAAAAAGAAAAAAGACTGAATATACTATTAGAAAGTAGACAAAGTATGTGAGCAGGTAATTGATAGAAGAGGAAACCTGAATGACCAATAAACATTTTAAGAGATGCCCAACTTACTAGGATTAGGAAAATGAGAAGTTTGGTCTTATCAGGCATTAATAAGAGTGAGGATAGTTTTGAGCAAAGGGTGGGATGTCTAGAAGCATCCCTGGCCTCCATCCACTAGATGCCAGTGACCCCTTCCGCAAAGCTGTGACAACCAAAAATATCTCCAGATATTGCCGAATGCCCCATGGGCAAAGTCATCCTTGAATCAGAAGCAGTGGTGCAGGGAAAAGATTATTCTGGACAGCTGGTGGGACTATGAATTCGAAGAGCTACTTTAGAGAACAAGTTGTTGAAATCTACTAAAATTTAAAATATACACACACCATAACTCACCAGTTCACTTCTTGGTGTCTCTACCTAGAGAACGCAGTGAGGTAGGCACAAAGAGACTGCTTGCAGCATTGTTTGTAATGATGCAAACCTGGGAACAGTCTGGAGGTCCAACAGCAGAACAATGGCAAGATGATGTATAGTATTTCAGTTTTGAGGCTAGTATTTAAAAAGAAAAAGGTAAAGGTGGAAACAACCCAGATGTCCATCGATAAAGGATCAGAAAAACGTGATATATACATAAAATGAAATATGATTCAGCCTTAAGAAAGAATGAAATTCTGACATGAATGAACCTTGAAGACATGATGCTATGTGAAATGGGCTAGTCACAAAAGGGCAGATATTGTATGATTCCATTTACAAGAGGTACCTGGAATAGTCAAATTCATAGACACAGAAAATAGAACAGTTGTTCCCAGGAACCACTGGGACGCAAGTGGGTTATTGTGGAACCACTGGGGGTTATCCCAGGAACCACTTGGGGATACAAGAGGTTATTGTTTAGTGAATACGTAGTTTCAGTACAGGACATGGAAGCATACAGGACATGGATAGATGGATAGTGGTGATGGCTGCACAGCCATATGAATGTACTTGAAACCACTGAAGTACACACTTAAAAAAGGTTAAAATGGTAAATATTATGTTATGCATGTTTTGCCACAATTTAAAAAGACAAAATGAGGTAGATTTCCATGTATTGACATGAAAAGATCTCAGAGATATAATGTGAGGTTCAAAATAAATACATAGATTTATATACATATGGATGTACTAAATGCATAGCAAGTGGGAGTAGTTATCTAAGGTGGGGTCTGACATGAGTGCCGAAAGAGGATTTGGGCCTAACCTGTATTTTATTTTATTTTATTTATTTATTTTTTAAATATTTTTATTTATTTATTTGACAGAGAGAGATCACAAGTAGACGGAGAGGCAGGCAGAGAGAGAGAGAGGGAAGCAGGCTCCCTGCTGAGCAGAGAGCCCGATGCGGGACTCGATCCCAGGACCCTGAGATCATGACCTGAGCCGAAGGCAGCGGATTAACCCACTGAGCCACCCAGGCGCCCCCTAACCTGTATTTTAATTTTTTGAAAGGAGAATGCATTCATGAGCTCTATGAAATTTAACATTATAACACTGCTTAGAATATCTCTGTAAAGAAAATTCAGGAAACCAGTGACAGTGGCTATCTCCAGGGAAGGAAACTGAGTACTTGGGAGGCAAATGTGGAAGGGACACTTGACTCGTCCTTTTGAACTCTTTCAAATTTGTGATATTATTATCTATGTGATTGAAACTTACAAATAAAGTCAATGGTTATAAAATTCTTCCTAAATTTATATTAAATTCAAAACAGCTGACTTATGGGGTTTTGTAGCTCCCATAGTTCATTCCTTCCCTTTCTTCTTCCTGTCTCACCATTAAAAAAATCTTAATGTTCGAATGAGTGTTCCCTGAGGGTCATTGTTAATGACTTTTTCCCACGGAATCATGTTTTCCAAACCACAAAGAACTGAAAACTTAACAAAAGTCCCAGCTTTGGCTCAATTCTGTATCACAGCAATTCTGCAAAATAGGTGTTAGTCTTTTGTGTTTCTAAGTTCTCAGAACAAGACTGACCAAGGCTGAAGGTCGAATTCTCAGTCCCAGAGGCTTTGATCTTGAGTTCCTCGGCTTTCCCCTTGGCAGCCCATGTGGTTGGTAGCATCCCTCTCTTAAGAACATAATATTTCCAGTCGTTTAAGCATCTGCCTTCGGCTGGGTGGTTCAGTCGGTTACGCATCTGCCTTTGGCTCAGGTCATGATCCTGGGGTCCTGGGATCGAGCCTCACATCAGGCTCAGCAGGGAGTCTGCTTCTCCTCCTGCCGCCTCCCCTGCTTGTGGTCTCTCCCTCTCTCTCTTTCCCAAATAAATAAATAAAATCTTAAAAAAAAATTTTTTTTTAAAAAGAGCGTAACATATCCAAGGGGAAAGAAATCTGGGTTCTGGGCCTGACTCTATGACCCATGGTGATTTATCATGTTAATTTTACTCAGTTTCACAGCCTGTAAAATGGGCCCATCCTTTTCAGTTCCTCAGGATCATTCTAGAGAGATCTTCCTTCTTTTTTTTTTTTTTTTTTAAGTAGGCTCCATGCCCCATTTGAGTCTCAAACTCCCCGCCATGAGAACAGGAGTTGTGTGCACTCCTGACTGAACCAGCCGGGCACCTTTAGAATCATCCTAGGGAGAAACGAAGACCACTTAGTTGAAAGGCCCCATGCTGGGTATCAGGAAGGGCCTGGATCTCCTGGGCCCATCATCACATCACTCTTACTGACAGGTACCTGTGCTCATGCCCTAGGTATGTACCTGTGGGCATCATGTTCCTGGTTGGAAGCAAGATTTTGGAAATGAAGGACATCATCGTGCTGGTGACCAGCCTTGGAAAATATATCTTCACATCTATATTGGGCCATTTTATTCATGGAGGAATTGTTCTGCCACTTATTTATTTTGTTTTCACAAGAAAAAACCCATTCAGGTTCCTCCTGGGCCTCCTCACACCATTTGCAACAGCGTTTGCCACCTGCTCCAGGTGAGTCGGGTGCTCTCAGCTGCCCTGAGCCATACTGATGTGGAACCAGGTGAGTCCAACCGCATACGTATATGGAAGTGGGTTTCTGGGATGCCAGAATGCGGGATTGTCTCATTCCCTTTTCCTTCTTGCTCCTTAGAGGTCAGATCATTGTTTAACCCAATTGTGGGTCCTCACCCTAATTACTAAGACCTTTGCCTGAGTGAAAGAAGGCAATCACTTACCTCAGAACTCCTTACAGGGAAGTTTCTAGAATGATGCCTGCCCAGTTCTCCTTGTAAATGCATGAATCACAAAATAAGACCAAGGTATCATGATGAGGAACAGGTGCTTAGCTCTCTGGGAGTCCACAGTATTGTGGGATTATCTAATTTAGTACAAAAGATGCATTTTGTCATTACTGGAAATCCTTCCAAAAAATTGAGCTTTCCAGGTGTGTTAAAGAAAACTTTCAAAGGGGTGCCCGGGTGGCTCAGCTGGTTAAGCATCTGCCTTCAGCGCGGGTCATGATGCCAGGGTCCTGGGATGGAGCCCTGCATCAGGCTCCTTGCTCGGCAGGGAGCCTGCTTCTCCCTCGGCTTGCTGCTCCCCCTACTTGTCCTCTCTCTCTCTGTGTCTCAAACAAATAAATAAAATCTGAAAGAAAGAAAGGAAGGAGGGAAGAGAGGCAGGAAGGAAGGAAAAAGAAGGAAAATTATCAAAGGATGGCAGCACATTACATTCACAAATTTGGTTTTTGCCTCCCTACTGCATGTTTCCTCCCATCCTCAGTGGCTATTTCTGTGATAACGTGCTGGGGTGGTAAAAAGAATTAGGAAGGTAAGTTTCTGTGGCTTAGAAACAAACCTGCTTCTCAGCTGTGGCAGCCTCCCACGAGGCTGGCTGGAGAGCATAGGACTTACTCTTCCAGTTATCCAGGAACACAGTCCCTCTCCAGGCTCTCACAGCCATTGCCACTTCTTGGCCAAAAAGGAAAAAAAGTCATAGTTTGCCTTTTACTTCCAGGGGGGAGGGAGGCGGGGAGAGGAACAATTCAAGAGAGGAGATGCACATATGGACTAAATAGTTCTTTGTTGTCTTGAGGACATTTTGCACCATGAGGCAATGTGGTGTTTCTTGAAATATGAACACGTGTATCCAAGTAAAAACGTAACAGGTAAATCTAGAGGGTCCGATTTTGAATACTTCAGGAATTGACATTATTGCACATTGTGACTGAAACTTTTTTTAAAGATTTTATTTATTAATGAGAGAGAGAAAGGGAGGCAGAAGGAGAAGCAGGGTCCCTGCTGAGAAGGTAGCCTAATGTGGGACTCAATCCCAGGACCCTGGGATCATGACCTGAGCTGAAGGCAGACACTTAACCATCTGAGCCACCCAGGTGTCCATGACAGAAGCTTTGAAACAATTCCAATTTTCCCTCTTTCTTCAAGGGAAAAAAAAACAGACATTAGGATGATGCTAACTGCTCTGTTCCTGGGTCTGCACTGAGTAGTCTCTTAGCCGGGCTGGAAAGGACTCTTGTCACAGTTGGCCGTTTCTCCCTTTCCAGCTCAGCAACCCTCCCCTCCATGATGAAGTGCATTGAGGAAAACAATGGTGTAGACAAGAGGATCAGCAGGTTCATCCTCCCCATCGGGGCCACTGTGAACATGGACGGGGCAGCCATCTTTCAGTGTGTGGCCGCGGTGTTTATTGCCCAGCTCAACAACATCGAGCTGAAGGCAGGACAGATTTTCACGATTCTGTAAGTTCATTATTCTTCATCCTTAGGTCTGGGTCAAAACTTGAGGGGTTTTTCATTGTGTGTGTGATTTCCTTTGAAACACGTCATGAATACCAATCTCACCATGACTTGGGGAGGTCCCATTTGGAAAATGACAGCATGAATTCATTACTTGAAGAGAGTGAATCATCTCTGAAGGGCTCAGCTGGCAGCATCTAGGGTTGTGTGGTTTTTGGTCTCGAAGCCGTAGCCGCCATATTTTGCATTTCTCTGGGCCCACACCATGCTCTGTATTAATGGCTAGTCTTCTGTGCCATCCCCTAGAGTGACAGCCACAGCATCCAGTGTCGGGGCAGCAGGCGTACCAGCTGGAGGGGTCCTCACCATCGCCATTATCCTGGAGGCCATCGGCCTGCCCACTCATGACCTTTCTCTGATCCTGGCTGTGGACTGGATTGTGTAAGTAGCAAGTCCTAAGGGCAGTGAATAAAAGAATGTCTGTGGTGCCTTCCCTAGGAGCTTGGCATCCTGCTGTGTCTGGGAGAAGAGACACTTCAGACATGCCTTGTGAAGGAGTTGAGCTGGCAAGACAAAATTTTATAATTTTGTTTATTTGTCAGAGAGAGAAAAGAGAGAGCACACACACACAAGCAGAGGGAGCAGTAGGCAGAGGGAGAAGCAGCCTCCCCACTGAGCAGGGAGCCCAATGCAGGCCTTGATCCCAGGACTGGGATCATGACCTGCGCCAAAGGCAGACCCTTAACCAACTGAGCCACACAGGTGTCCCAGGCAAGACAAAATTTAGGAAAAATTAAACAGTATAAGGGTCAAAGGCCCATAAATGACCACGAAATGTCATTACTGAGAACTTGGTTAGAGCATCCAGGAAAGTGGGAGTCCAAGACCCAGGCTGGGCTCCCAGTGCAGGCCCAAGGTGGGGACCAGGGTCTAATGGAGATTGTTGGCTGCATAAGAGTCATAGCCATTGGAGCAGTGAGCCTTTGGGAATGATTGTCCTTGGCCTGAAACATGCGAGGAGTGATTTCATCAAGGGAAGTGGAGATGAACTCAGCTGATGTGAGTGGATTGGGCTCAGGGGAGGAGGAGTTACAAAGGAGATGTGATTCAGGCCACCATCACCAGGGCTCCTGTAGAGGCACAGAACAGTGAGTGTTGATTCTGAGTGTGGACTCCTTGAGTCATTTGATACCTTCTTTAGGTTTCAATAATACATGTTTTATAGGGAAGGTCACCTGAGGTGCTAATGTTGGACAGTAGAGCATATAGGTAAGAAAATGAGCCCTGGAATCCAGGTACCTGGGTTCACATCCCAGCTTTACCATTTACTAGTTGTGTGATAGGAACTGTTCTGGACTTTGATGCGTTCACCTGTCAGATGGGACTAGTAATAGAACCTACACAGAGCTGGGTTGGAGATGAAATAAGTTAGTATATCCACAGTGCATGGAAGAGTTCCAGGCTTGTGGTAGAGCATAGTAAACAAGTAAACATTAGTGAAAAAAGACACTGCCTGCCAGGCTAGCCCGAGCCAGGCATGGCATCACCTAAAAACTAGAGTCTGGCCCTGGGCTCGTGGCTCTGCCCATTGTGGTTGGGAATGGTGGTTTCCAACTTCTTGTGTAAGCCCCAGAAATTTTCAGGGACTTCTCAGAATCCTTTAGAACAAGGAGGGTGAAATGGAGACCCGCATTGTCTACACAGCTCATTAGAGGGAACTCGGTTCCTTAGCTGGTGTGTTGGACAGGACCGGAGCAGAGTGTTAGAGCCAGCTGCTTCTGTCTGAGGAAGGCAGACCTCTAAGAGACTGTTAGTCAAAAACAGGGACAAAGGGCACCAGGCAGATGGCCTAGTAGAGACCTGAAGTCACGTGAACCATCCACCACCCCGTAGCCTCTGCTTACACAGCCCTCAGCTTCTGTGGTGCTGGCAGGCAAGTTCACACTTTTCTCCCTTTCTGCAAAATGGGCACTGTACTTGCTCTGAGCCTCAGGAGAGAGGGTGGTTATTGGACTAACCTGTGGGAAGACAAGCTTCTGGAAAAGGACAGTGCTATGAGATGGTGTTTGCCAACTGCCATAGAATACAGGAAAAGTTGAACATTCAGCAGAGACACAGTGTTGAGAGAAGAAGAAGGGGTGTTCCCACAGTGTACTGCTAAGCGGGAGAGAAGTTGGGTCTGAAACCCAGTCTACACTGCCTGTCCCAGCTGTGCGTGACCCTCATAGGATGGTGTCTACTCCGCATAGAATACATCCATAGAAAGGTGTTACTAACCTCACTGGGAGTTGTGAAGTGTGGGTGGGTGACTTTTGTTTTCTTGATGCTTCTCTTCTTTCCAGGTTTTCCACAATCAGGGTCTGTTACTTTCCCGAGAGTAAGAAATAGTGACTGAAACAGTTTGGAGTAAAGTGAGGCCCAGGCTGCTGTGTGGCAGCAGCGGCCAGGCCTGCCTTTTCTTCCCCCGCAGGGACCGCACCACCACCGTGGTGAACGTGGAAGGGGACGCGCTGGGTGCCGGCATTCTCCACCACCTCAACCAGAAGGCGGGGAAGCAAGGCGAGGAGGAGCTGAGCGAAGTGAAGGTGGAGGCCGTCCCCAACTGCAAATCGGAGGAGGAGACATCGCCTCTGGTGACGCACCAGAACCCCGCCGGCCCTGCAGCCAGCGCCCCCGAGCTGGAATCCAAGGAGTCGGTTCTGTGAGGGGGCTGGCCCTGGGCGTGCCCGCCGGCCGTGGCGCCCCGCCGTGTGAGGGCGGCCAGGGGGCGCGGGCCCCCTGCTCACTGACTTTTAGCCCCGTGCAATGCTTTGGCCCGGTCAAGGGTTCGAGGATTATGTCTCCGTGCAGGCATCGCGCTTCCCAGCGGGAACTGGTTACCGGAGACCAGGGCGCTCTGCCGTATGGCTTGATCCGTGTACAGGTGCAACTGTGTGTGCTTTGGAAACCCGTCCTGGAGCTGCAGGCTGGGGGCAGATCAGGCTCCCCGGGACAGGGTAGTTACGGCTTGGAACAACGCACAGGTGCCCTTCACTGCGCGCAGGCAGCTCTGCCCTCGTGGTCTTTCTGGGCAAACTAGGGGGCTTTACAGCCCTCTGTCATGCAGCCTCGCAAGCCAGAGTGATTGGAAAAATTCCCAAATTCTTACCTGTGGCTGGAATTCACTGAGCTGGTACCTGAGGTGTTGAGAGATTTCTAACTTGAGGTGTGGCTGATTCTGATTCACTGGTTGCTGGTGGGCTTGGAGGTGCAGCACATTGTTCTGTTGGAAATACTACAGACCCCATTAGCACTGTGGGGGTCTCTGGTCAGTAACATTAAGTAAACAGCTTAAATGCTGAGGTCAGAGAAAGGAGGGGGGATGCAGCCAGCAAGGGTAAGGGAAGCATCCTGTCAGGACAGACGGACACACACACACACAGATACACACAGTCATCCTCAATCTCGATCCATCCCCAGGGAAGTTTTCTGCTTCCAGGACCTGGCCTCTGACAACACTGTAGCTTAATCCCCATCCAGGCCCAAGAGGGGCCTTTTCCTCCATGATCTTCACATCTAGGACCGGCTGGCTCATTAATCCAATCTTAGAATTCAGCTAGCCCCCTAAAATGCTGCACTTTGCAAAACAAAAATGAAAACACATAAACCCACTTACTAACTGGGGTGGGGTGCCCCATTCCCGGGTCCCCAGGTCTCCTGGCTTTGGCTAATTTGTTGTGGGCTGGGTTTCTTTTCCTGCCAGTAGATCAAAAGTTTAAGACTGGAAACCAAATGTCCCCATTCCTGCAGATATCTGCCGATTTGGTCTGAATCTAGGCGAGGGGACTTTATCCAGAAGACCAGTGTTGCCAGGGACGGGGAGACTGAAAGGCACAAGAATGCTCATTCCCTGTGGCTGTTGGTGGTTCTCTGTGATGTGACCTGCCGCAAGTCCTGGGCCTCACTTTACTCCATTTGTAAAATGGGGCTGATGTCACCTGCCTCTTACCTACCTCAGAGGGATCTGGTGAGGCAAACTGAGTGAATCTGTGATAACAACCCATTCATTTCTTGGATAGCAAATGCTAACAACTTACGCTCTTATGTTTTACCCAAGTGAGACCTTTCTTCATGGAGTCCTTGTGCTCCTGGTAAAGACAGCTTCTCTGAGCAGAACTTTGTTCTCTGAGTGCGGTCGCAACTCTGCCATGCAGCTTGTTCTCTTCATAGATATTTCATATCTATGATACTTCATAGATAGTATCGAGTGCAACCTCTTCCTGATGTTGTTCAGCTACTCCTGAGTGAACCACGCCATCCGTAGCACATTTCTGGGTTCCTGGCTTCCCTGTGACTCCCAGACCTCAGGCACTGGCCGGCCACCTCACAACAGGCCATTAACAGTTCCCGGACGTCCCACCTCATGCGGTTTTCTTGTTTTCCCTGTTGCTGTGACAGGGCCTGCTGTGACAGGCCCTGCAGAAGAGGAAGGAGCTGTGGAGATGTGTTTCTGGTGCTGTTGAGAATGGGAGGGCAGGGACAGAGGCAGTCAAGCCCCTCCTTTTGGGGTGTGTGCCTGAATGGAAGGAGTGGGGAAGAGCCCTGGGGCTTAGAGCTGGCCTGGCCAATGGGAAGGCCCAGCTCCCTCCAAATCTCTTTAAACCAGCCAAGCGGCTCCCATCCTCTGTGAGGCCAAGAGGGACCAGGAACTGAGCCGAGAGCTGCCTGGAAACCTTGACACTCTGGCTCATTGCTGATCCCCCTTCTGTTTTGAAAGGGGAAACAATCACATTGTTTGATCCCAAATTGCAAATGAACATTCTGCCTTTGCCTCTACTGTCTTTCCTTCTCCCACATATCTATGGCTCTATTTGCACACAAATGCATATATGTATGTGTGTCTCCATGTTGTTTTAGCTCTCATCCAAGCAAGATTTGAATTTGGATAGAAGTGACCTAACCAGTGTTGTGGCTTCTGCAAACTGATTTTCCTATGTCTAAAAGTAAGTTTCACAAAATGTTAAAATTAGAGCTGCCCATCTCGTGAGCGTGCCTCCTCTGTCCCAAACCTGGCAAGGCAGTAGGCAGAGTGCTGGGCCCAAAAGGGGCGCTTCTATATGAAATCCCATGCGACAGCTCCCCTTCCTCTGCGAGGAAGAAGGTGCTGTGTGCCTCCTTGTTTTTCAGACCAGAGTGACCTGGCTGGGGAAAATCCCACTTTCTCACTGTCTGAAGCTATCTCCCCCACTCTTCTAACATGTTGTCGTAAATACTGTTCATCTCTGTTTTCTGTGTGTGACATTTGCCTTAAAACATAGCAGTCCTCAAAATGAATACAGTATTTCTGCTAGGATCTGCATGTTCCTTTCTTCCTCTCTTGTGTTCTGCAGTGGTGGTTCCAGGTTATGGAGCTTTTCTAGGGGATCACCTGAGGCGGGTCTGAATGGATTTTGTTCTAGCAGCTTTTAGCCAGTCTGACCTCCTGAGGCAGGGTAGGCCCGCTCCGGTGGGCCAAGCTGCTGCAGGGCAGTCACTGAGGTCCTGCTGTTTCTGGATGCTTCCTATTCAACACTACCAAGGCTCAGTAAAAAGTGGGTAGTTTTGCTATATACCTCCATAAAATTAAGTCTTCTTAGAACAACTAGGTCAACAGGCCTTAACGGAGCATCTATAAACTGAGATCCATGCTGGAAGAATGCCCTAGTCCATAGAATTACCGAGAAAGTCCCTGCGTGGGGCACTTGCCCAGGCCTTGACCATCATGCACACCACACCCAGCCCTTTCTTTTATATAATTTCATTTTCAGTGACACCACATTCCAGCACAATTAGGGAATTTAGAAGCCTCTTACGAAAGATTATCCGACAAGCTCATACTGGAAGCCTTAGTTTCCAGGTTCTGGGGCCTCTGAAGAAACAAGTCCCGTTCTGACCTGGACATTTCCAGCTTCTCATATCGTACAGACCCTGGTTTTAATTTCTGGCCAAGGCTTAAGGGGATGAGAACAGAGTTTACACAGACCAAGGGCCTGATGGGGCCTGTTACTAAATGACCAGATTCTCACCTTGGAGGACAGCTGTCTTACTTCTTGGTTTTGAAGAGCGTGTGAAGGTTGCGATGGTACTTAGTGCTTCAGCTTTTTAATATAGCTGCAAATCAAGAGGAGCAATTCCATAAGCTGCCTCTTCCCAAGTGAGCAGAAAGTGTGCTGCTCTGTGGGCTCACCTGAGCATCCTGAGGGGAACTTCCCACAGCATCTGTGAAGGACATGAGTGACGCAGCAAGGAGTGTGCACTGTCTGGGCTCTGGCCTAGCTCTGCTGCTTGCTTTCTCTGTGACCCCAGGCACAACAACCCCTCTGAGCCTCAGCCTCCTCACCTCTTCTTCTTTTTTTTTTAAATAAGATTTTATTTATTTGACAGCACGCAAGCAGGGGGAGCAGCAGGCAGAGGGAGAAGCAGACTCCCCACTGAGCAAGGAGCCAGGCAAGGACTCAATCCCAGGACCCTGGGATCAGGGCCTGAGCCAAAGGCAGATGCTTAACCAACTGAGCCACCCAGGTGCCCCAGCTTCCTTATCTTTAAAATGGGGACAATAATTTACCAGGGGCATAGGCTATTGTGAAGAGTAAAGGAGTTAATACATGTAAAGTGGCTCAGAAAGGTGCCTAGCACATGCCACGTGCTCTGGAGTGTTGGCTCTCAAGTCAGACGCAATGGCAGAAAAAGTTCCCGACCAGCCCGTGTTTCTTTCTGTGTGGGCCCATTGAGTAACATGCTGGCGTTTGATCCCTTGCTCTCTTGAGGAGATAGGAAGATCTCTTTCAGCTGGTCTGTGGCTTTAGAGTAGAGGAGTGTGCCCATTTGGAATATGTGTTCTAGAAATATTTGGATAACTGCTTAAAAAGAACCAGCCCTGCAAACAATCGTCAGCATGCACTCAAATGTGTCTTACTCACAACAGAAACCCTCTACTCATGCTTTCTCTCTTTAGCTGTATCCTTCCAAGTTGCCACTCAGAATGATGGCAACACCCTGTCATCTAGATAGAAATTTGCTCTCCTGGTCAAGCTCAACCCCTCCTCCTCATGCTTCTGGGAGGCGCAGGCAGGCTTTGGTGTTGAGGGCGGTTCTGGTCCACCTCCCAGTCTCAGGGCCTTTGACCTGCAGTCCCCTTTACTTGGGGCTGCCAGTAAGTGAGAACATAGCAAGAGGGAGAATATTAAGTCCTTTGAAAGATGGACAGAGATTTAATCCATCATGCCTATGTAAAGAAGCCTGCATAAAAACCCAGAAGGGCAAGATTCAGAGAGCTGAGCGCTTTCAGGCTGGTGAACATGGGGAGGTGCTTGGTGGTGTGGGGAACCCCCCAACCCACAGGCACTGGAATTTGGTCTTAGAATCAGAGCTAGCCACTTTGGGTCTCTTCTTAGCACATGTGCCTTCTTTCACTATCTAGTTAGTGCTGTTGACACAAAACCTCTCTATGCTGCTGTTAGTACTTCTATTCACACTTCCTGCCATCTGCCTTTTTGTACAATAAAAGTATACTACGTTTAGTATTGTTCTGGACAAAGCTGATAGTGCCTTTCACATGAGGAATTACAGTCCTGAAGAAGAGTTGACATAGATGTTCTTTTTTTCTTTTTTCTGTTTTTTAATAATATCCATTAGTCAGTACATGGAGAATTATCCTGTGTTCTCGGCCAGTGAGAGCTCTTCTGGCATGCCCTATTGTGAGCCTGGATCAATGAGCACTTGTGTTTACTTTTTCATTTTGAGTCATGGAAGTCAAAGTGTGTATTTCCCCATGGTGTTTCTGTTCTCATGGCAATAGCTATTAAAAGACATCCAAGTGACAGGGCGGGAAGGGCCACAAATGTGTCAAGGAAGAGCGTCCAGCTGGATGTCCAGATGAGCCCCTTCGAGGAACCGGATGAACAAACAAGACAAAAATCGGCAGTTAGGCATGGAGGCCGGGACCCCTCTAATGAACATCAGAGCACATGAGCATATAAAACTATGAACAGTAACTAGAAGGAAGGGTCACAGGAGACTTGTCACAACTTTAGGGGATTTGAAGAGAAGGATATCCCAATGCATCTCCTTGAGACCAGGCTGAATAGCTTTGATCCGGACAGAGTCCCTACTAGTCAGTGTTCTAAGTTGCAGACAACAGCATCCACTGTAGTGGCAAAAAGCAAAAAAGCATGATTACACAGTATTAGGAGTACACTGAATTTCTGAGGAGGGGGAAACAGGTGGGTTGTTAGTAGCCAGGAATAATGCAGCTAAGGGTTCTGAGTTCTAAAAAACTGTTTTAACAGAAGTTACATCGCTGCCACTGCCCGCCCCTCCCCAACACCTGGGACATTAGGAACCCGTGTAGAACTCCGCCCCCCCCCCAGCAACTGCAATCTCCCAGTGTAGCTCTACCCTGTATTCCTCAGTGCTACCTTCACACTCACCTCTGAGTTTCACACAGGTGCCTCTGCTTGGCAGGGCTTCGAGGAAATCCAGGAAGGTGGTCTCTAGTTTCTTAGCCCTCACAGATCAGGAAGCTACACCTGAGGGAGGTTAGAAGGGGCCTTGAGCCAATGGGTCTGCCACAGCCCCCACTTACAGGACACGTGCCCCTGTTCCAGACAGGGTCAGAAGTTCCCTAAATGCCTGTTAGGACAAACGCAGACTTTCATACGAGTGAATGAAACACTTCAAACCTTGTCATGGTGCTACTGCCCACCAGCCAGTGGATCTCTGTGGTATCACCATCTTTGTTCAGCAGTTTTTATTTGACAGTTATGTGAACTTGCACTTCTTTTTCATTCCTCAAATGAGCAGAAAAGCAGAACTGAGATGAATGATATTTGTGATATTAAGCATGGGCCTCATAAGTTTAATAAAACTGAAGGAAAGATTACCAGGAGTACCAAAAGCAGTCAACCCAGAGGCTCATTGAGACCCTTACTGAGGAAAAAAAGTTGAGTTGCTTATTCACATGTAAAGAACACATTTAAACTTGTAACACTATACATATGTGTATATGTATATTTTTAATGATTTTATTTTTAAGTAACCTCTATACCCAACATGGGGCTCGGACTCAATCCTGAGATCAACAGTCACATGCTCCACTGACCAGGCCAGCTAGGCACCCCCACTAAAACTATTATCATTGAAAAATATGTCTGATGGACAAAGTGTCATTAAATGAGCCATTTATCTGGATGAGAGTGAAGTAAAGACATGAGGGAAGGGCAACTGAGGGAAAGGCACCTTCCTCACCACAGCAGCAAGGGGTTTGAAGGGGTGTCAGGGGCTGATCAGTCTATGCCATGTCTATCATGGTCAGGGCTCCATGGGCTACACAGAGCTAAACACTTGTCCTGTGTATGCTGCTTCCTTGTTGGCTACATTGAAATCTCCTTTCACCTTCTGACTAATATCTTCTCCCACTTACAAACATACTTCCCCCTGTATCATTCCCACCTTAGGGACGCTGGTGTCTTCCAACAGGCCAGAATTGCTCGTTGCTGAGGTAGCTACTAGCCTGCTCCTGAGACTTTCTTTTTGTGAACAGCAAAGGACTGGTCCTAGTACTGGTCCTACGACTAAATTCTCTTCTTTTCCTTTTTTTCCTTTGCTTTCTTCTTCTCTTTCTTTCTTTCTTTAAAATATTTTATTTATTTATTTGACAGACAGAGATCACAAGCAGGCAGAGAGAGAGAGAGAGAGAGGAGGAGGAAGCAGGCTCCTTGCTAAGCAGAGAGCCTAATGCGGGGCTTGATCCCAGGACCCTGGGATCATGATCTGAGATGAAGGCAGAGGCTTTAACCCCCTGAGCCACCCAGGCACCCCTTCTTTTCTTTTTAAAAAGAAATGGATTGGAACTTCACCAAAGAAACAAAACCATCTTAATTGGGACCAATGGAGTCATTACTGGAGCTAGGAGGCCACCCTGTGGCTGTCAAAAAATGAGGTCCAAGGTCCCCCCACCTACATTTCTGCAATTAATCTTTTCATCCTAAAGAGCAGACAGGAACACCAAGACAATATTTGCTAAGTTTCTGTTCAGAATGTTCTATTGGCTTTACTAGCAAAAAGATTTAGGTCAAGTTTGTGCCTAGACCAGCATCATTAGCATCACTTAGGAACTTACTAGAAATGCAGATTTTAGGTCCACCCAAACCCACTGAATCAGAAACTAGGGGTGGGGCCAGCCATTGAGTTTTAATAACTCCCTTCCCCCAGGTGATTCTGATGCCAGGTAGTCTGAGAACAACCAGTTTAGACCATCTAGGTAAAAGATTATCTCCCTGGGGGGCGCCTGGGTGGCTCAGGTCATGATCTCAGGGTCCTGGGATCGAGTCCCACATCGGGCTCTCTGCTCAGCAGGGAGCCTGCTTCCCTCCCTCTTTCTGCCTGCCTCTCTACTTGTGATCTCTCTCTGTCAAATAAATAAATAAAATCTTAAAAAAAAAAATTATCTCCCTGGGCTGGGCTAGCATAGCAGCTGTACTAACTTGCTGATTGTAATTATTGTGTCATTCATTCAGCAACCATTGCATTTCATTCATTTAACAAATGCCTAGCGTGAAAGCCTATGTGATTGGAGCAGAATAGCTGAGGGAGAGTAGAGGAAAGGAGTTTGAGAGGCAGGCATGGGCAAGGTTGTGAAGACAAGTAGACCACAATGAGGACTGATGGGTCATGGGAGCTGCTGGAGGGAACTAAGGGAAGAGAGAAGACTGTCTTATAAATAATCACTTTGGCTATAGATGGAGAACAGATTGTCGTTGGAAGCAGAACAGGTAAGAAGCTAGAACAAAACTCGGGAGAGGGGAATGGTGACTTGGATGGGGTATGGCAGTTAGATGTGTTGAGATGGCTGGTTCTGAATGCGTTTTGAAGGTAGAGCCAGTAGGATTTACGGATGGATTGGATGTGAGATGAGACTGAAGGGAATCTAGGTGGACTCCAAGGTATTGTGCCTGAGCAAAACATATTAAGTGAGAAATAATTAAGTGCCTACTAAAGATATACTTAAGATGTATTGCATAAAGATCAAATGTTTTAGTAGGCAAGACCAATTAAATGAAGATTATGGGTTGTTTTTCTTTCCACATAATTTACCCAGTTGTTTTAGTCAATATATCTCTTCTTTTATAAAAATGTTTTAATTTCAATAAGCTACTCAGTGGATTGTCACAGACAATACTTTCATGCACTTGTATCTACAATGAACACAGAGGTTGTACTTAAGGTAATCAACTGCTATTCTTCACATTAGAAGTAGAAACAACTCCTTTACCAATTTGCTACTTTTGTTCTTCCTGCGGTGCAAATTAGCAGCAATTATGCATACCTGCAGACATACATTTTAATA